AATGTACCGTAATAATTATTATAACAAACTATAATAGGCATAATAAACATAATAGTAATTATAATAGGTCGAATAATAAGGATTAATTTGATTTTATTTTTGTAATATTAATTGATGCCGGTGATTTAGTTTAGGCATATTTATTCCTTAATATCTTTATTTTTCTATATTAATTGTAAATTCAAGTTTTTCTTTCAATATTTCGGGTGTTTTTATAATAATAATAATAATAATATGTCGTTCTTATATAGCGATTTATGCCTTAACAAAGCTTCTAAGCGCTTCACAAATACCAATAATTGATATAATAATAATAAATAATAGGCCTAATAGCAATAATAATAATAATAATAATAATAATAATAATAATAATAATAATAATAATATGATATTACTAATAATAGGCCTAATGATAATAATGAATTAATACTGTAGGCGGAGTGTAACACTGCTTGCCTATGCGTTTATGTTAGTATGTTGTAAGGGGTCAGGTGAGAGTCGAGGGGGGGGGGGGCGAGGAGTCTTTCTGTTTGTCTGCTTGATAATCTACGATGCATGTACCAACAATGAAGATGCGTCTCATTGTTTTGATATATTAATTCGATTGTCCATTGACATAATGGTGTAGGTGATTACAGCGACCAGGAAGATTCAAAGTGTAGCTTTGTCGATGCTTCCGACGTCAACATTAATTCCTTATCCCTATTCTCAAAGTATTCGTATTATTAGCTACTAAACACAAGTAGATTATACTCAAGCCTCTGTAAACTAGTACTTGGCTCACGCTCTCCGCCCTTTGTTCAAGTGGCTAAAATCGCCTATTTTTTTTTACAGGAAGTGATCTTTTTAGAGGACAGGAAGTGATCTTTTTAGAGGACTTCACTATATACTACAATTATTATATATTTGTATATATTTATAGAGGTTGATTCGAGTTGTCTCGACCATGACGTGTACATCAACCCTAAACAGATATGATTATTTCTCTGGGATGGATTTTATTGATTCTACACGTAATAAAATGTTCCCCAAAAAATATGAGCAATTTTTTAAATTACACATCAGTATAATTTGTACTGGAATGATTAAACAAAATTGTGATTAAATTCCAACCACAGTGAATCGATGTAATTATTGACAGACTGGACCAATGGCAATGCGTGCGCGGATGCCATCTGTTTGTGGATATAGGAGAGTAACATCTGCGGACGGACATATCTTTTCTGATAGGTTATTTCTTTTCATTGTTTAATAAATAATGAATGTAATAAAGCATTGTGATACTATACCAGACGCCTGACCTTGGTGCTAATCTAGGCACTACTAAGTTACTAGTTAGCCTTCGATGATATACTGGATAGTATGCCAAAACTCACAGTGGATTATTTACGAATGGGCGTACACACCTAGGCCTACAACCAAACTCTAAATTCAAGCCAAATCAGAGCTGGTCGGCATTATTTTTTTGACATTTTAGTTTTTAAGTTCCATTCTGTAAGTGATATTGTAAATAAATAAATTTTACTTCACTATGAAAACCTAATTTTGCATTTATTACCAAACAAATGAAAAAGATAATACAAAATTGGCAACAGTAGGTTAACTATAGATTTACCTGGTAGGGTTTAACTTCCATTACAACCCTCACTCACCCCTTACATTTTGGTTGTTTAAATAGTAAGCGTTGGTAGGCCTAATTAGCGTTCATTAAAGCTTGAAAAGTAGCATATTCATAGGCCGCATTACAGTTTCGATTACTTGCTAGTATAAGCCTTAAAAATTTCTGTTTTCCTTTCCATGAATTATTCAGAATTGTATTAACACGATAATAGGTTCAGTACAAGTCTGCCATTCTCGAGTTCCCATGACCGACGCATGGAAAAATTAAGAGGAAGCAGTCTCCACGAGCATTAACACATACTCTAGGGTAAGCGTCACTAAGGTAAGTTTGTTTTCTGTGGAAATAGACCGAAAGTAAACAAAAAACAAAAAAAACAATATAGCTCTACTGAGCTAAAAATAAGAAAATCTGAAATAAAAATTATATTTATGAATTGCTTAGCTTAAGCAATAAGATATAGTCTTCCAAAATTGTAATAAAATCCCCGTTTTACACATAATACATAACCATTCCTAAAATCTTTCCATGCAATAGCAAATGTTTTCAACTTCGTATGGGATACAGATCGAATAAAACTTTTCGCTAATTCGCAAACACGTGTCTAATCATGGAGGTATTATAGTTCACTATAATACCTCCATGGTCTAATCATGGAGGTAAAGTCTAATGTACTATTTTATCTCGTGTGAATCGGATAGCTTATATGTGCAGGATGAAAGCCAGTACCGCAATGTTGTATGCCCATATATAGTCTTGATGTGCCTATATATGGTCATGTTGTGATGTCATCACGGCCAGATTTTGGCATGTCACATGTTTTTGTCAAATAAAATTTGAGTCTGGACTCTTTACTAAATTAGGACCTCGACAAACTACGGTATAATACGAAATGAAAAGAATTTCTTTATATGCAAAAAAAAAAAAAAATCCAACGATTACGTTGTCTGAAAATCCCCACTAAGTAGTATTCTATCGAATAAAACAATACCCTAATGAAATATATGTGTATAAACAATATTTAAATTGTTCTCAACATGTACTATAATGCATGTTAAATTAATAAATTCGTTTACGATTATTTTTTCCTTAATTATAGTGAATCAAAGAAATTACTAACGCGGAAGTGACGACTGTGGACCGATGTCAGTAATGACCGAATAATGACACAATTTGTATTGTTAACATAAGGAACGAAGTGTGACAAAAATATAAACAGTTACTGATTATAATACGTGCCATCGATATGATAAAAATCGAGCTATTTGCGCCGTGCGAGGGAGCTGTTTACGTTTCGAACTTGATCAGTGGTTCATCGCGAATCTGTCGCGTTGGTAGAATAATTAATTTAATTGAGGCGACAGAAAATCAGTAAACAATGTTCAAAGGAGACGAAAGAAAGAAAAGAAAAGAAAAGAAAAAACTACTCAACGTCTACTTCATTGTCTACTTTATTGCGATCACATAACCAAATAATGAAACAGAAGTCAAGACTTATGCGTAAGTAAGATCGGTAGGCCTTCTTTCGGGCTCCAACAACCAGGAAATGGAAACACAAGTGGTATAGATATTTTTGGTGAGAAACAGAAAAAAAAATGGTCTCGTGCAGACCAATTTTTATTCAAAACCAATCACCGCATACCAGGTACCAAGTTATAACCGTGAAGATAGACAAGGATGCCCTGCCCAAGACCACAAGAACAGGTGACCAGCATCGAATCGGGCTTGGAACCACTCGGTTGGAAGCCCAGACATTTAGTGGTGGAGGGTGATGATGATAATGATGGTACTGGTTGTGATGATGCTGCTCTGGCTGGTGATACTGCTGTTGGCGATAATGATAATAATTTTATTGGTGATGCTGCAACTGCTAATGATGATGACAGTGACGATGTTGATGATAATGATGGTATTGTTGATGATGCTTTTGATGATGATGATGATGATGACGACAGTGACCATGTGGGATGATAATGATATTACTGGTGGTTATGCTGCTGCTGCTGATGATGATGTCAGTGACGATGTTGACGCTATTGGAGATGCTGCTGCAGCTGCTGATAACGGTGATAATAATTATGATCAATGCGAAATGACGAGGTGTGAACATGAAGATAATACATATTACAATGTTACAACAGCTTGATAATAATAATTTTAAAAAAATGGGGGAGGAAAGTTTATGGAAAGAATTACCAAGATTGTCAACAAAAGTTATGCTATTTATACAGGTTATTCTAAAATGTTGTAAAATTGCTGTACAACAAATTCCTATCACATTTAACAATACCCAATATATACCGTACCAAACACATATATTTCTTTCTGTATAAAAATAAATCAGCTAAATATTTTGGGTCTATTTCATCTAATATTAGAAGGTGGGAAACCATTCTCTTAGAGTGAATTTTTACTTTTCTCTATTATTATCTTTACATTTCAGAATTCAGAGGAAAACAAGAACTCAAGCCAAAGTATGTAGATGACGCAATATGACGTCAATACCTCTTAGACCTGTCACACTTTATTGTGTCCAACTCTTGTTTTAAAAAAGTCGGATCAACACAAACCACTCAAGAAAAAAAGAAAACATAATACAATCATATAAATATCCTTTTTTGGTAAAAAGGCTGAATAAAAGTGTATTATGTATTAGATTAGACATTCAGTCTCTCAGGCACTTTTTTAACAATTAATTTTTTTTTAATGTATGACTTTAATATTGGTAGCATAAAAAATCAAAATTTGCATCATTAAACCAAAAAAAATTAAGTACAAACATCTGTGAAATTTGCATGTATTGTTTGTGAAATATATTATTAATACCTACTATAAACGTAGAATTATATCCAAACAAAACATTAAGTTTTTAAAAACAAATAAGTCTATATAAACAAACATATGAGTTAGTTTATGCAACACAAAAGAAATTGGTTTATATAAAAAAGTTTATCAATATGAACAAACAAATAAATAAATATATTTACTGCATAATATCAATATCCTAAATAATCAGCTTCTGCTGGTTGATACACCCTCATTAAATATGGTTCAAATAAAATAATACAATAAATAAAATAAAAAATAAACAAATCAACAATGGTGGGTTAAAAGAAAACTTAAAGAGTTGGTATAACCAAGCAAAATAAAAGTGAGTTTATAAACAATCTATTACATTAAAAAAAATAAATTAGTTTATAGCACACCACTGCACCTAATGAAGCCAGCAAAGACGACTGACAAAAGTTTGTGGAATAAATATTCATTATAAAATTAACAAACAAAAAAATGAGTTTATAAAAACAAATGAATAAAAAAATTCATATAAACAAAACATGTTTATATAAACCATTTAGTAAATATAAACAAATGAATATATGAGATTTAACAAGTTTATATAGTCTAAACAAATAAAAGCATTTATATAAATGAATAAATGAAAAAGATCAATTATTTAAATTTAAATAACCAAATACATTTAAGTTTATATACACAAATAAATGAGTATATATAAGCCAATACATGGGTTTACTTACCCACAAACATGAATTTACATAAATGTAAATTACATTATATAGGCTAATAAATGAATTAGATTATATAAACAAATAAGTATGTATATAAACAAGTACATGAGTTTAAATAAACATATCTAATATAATGGGGAAAAAAGAGATTAAAACCTGAGGCCCATCAGCAATATGTTATAAAAATCATCATAATATATACTATTAAGCAATTAGTATAGTTGTGTACCACAGACTGGTGGAAACTATTATACAAATGTTAGATTAATGCATGAAAAAATCCTGAGGGAATGCAAAAATAACCTTGTTAGTTATAGTGATGATGTCATGATTAACTTATAATATATTTAAGACTGGTAATAATTGATAACACAGTGATCTTAAATCATGAGTTGTAAAATTCTGATTTTTCCATTTTAACCCTGACCAGGTGGGCTTCGTTTACTACGCTGGCCCTCAAGCATTCTCTCCAATTCAAGTACTTTTTCCTCTAGGACTACTTCCCGTAATAAAACTTTAAGTTCTTTCACATCCAAACTATCTAGAAAATTCTCATCTAATATTATATTCTGACTGGCCCCCAAAAGTACGCCATCAAAATTGCCTGTGTCGATGAGATCCCCATCTTCATCAAGATTGTGGTCTTTGTTCGGTGGCAGCTTTGCCGCACCCGAGATATCATTAACATCTAGTACTATTTCCTCATTGTGGAGTTGCTCGTCATTGTAGATATCAACAACCGTATTTTGATTACTCTTTCCTGCGTGCTGCGGATTTATCGCAGGATTTGGATCCACATTTTCCTTGTTGTCATTCACTTCTATCTCTCTGATGCCATAAAATGTTAAACCTACCGATACTAATACAGCCTTAGATTTTTTTCTTGGCATTACATCTGGCGGGTCATCAATATCTTTCGGCGTTTCGTTGTACGTGAACTCCAGCGTCCATATGCCTTGCGGATTTTCACCCCAGTTATGCACGGTCATGAACGGCCAATTGCTTATTCCGTTAAAATCACTATCGTACTTGCGCGTTGAGAGCAGCTCAGAGGGGGTGCCGGATGGAGAATACAACATGATACTGATGTCTCCTCTACGTGGGGACTGAAACGTGATGTGTGCCTGCGTGTGTTCCAGCTGCTTGATGTTGTGGCAGTTCTCGACTTTTATAAAAATAGTTTTCGTTTCACCCTGAGCTGCTTCGCTGAAGAACATAAAGTTTAAAGGTTAAGAAATTCAGTTAAATGAAACACATAGTATTAATTATCATAACGATGTTCACTAACAAATTTCTAATAACAACTAAACTTTTTATTAATATTATAATACTATACCGTTTGAACAGTAATACTGTACAGTTTGAACAAAACTTAATATTAAAAATATACTTGATAAAAACAATAAGTTGATATATATATATATATATATATATTTCTATATTGTTAAAAAAAACACTACTAATTTTTTTTTACTACTATTGCTGCTACTGCTAGCTATTATTGTTACAACTAAAGTCAATAGTTAAGGAATTATAAATCGTTCAAAGTACTTTGGTATTAAATTAGATTGTTTTAAAGCATTTAGTCTCCATAAACTCTCTAATATTGATTAAGTTGAAACACATCTTTGTTATTTATTTTCAATTTCTCAGATGGCTTCACAGACCTCCAAAAATGTTTCACGGCCCAAATATGGGCAGCATCTAATAGTTTGCGGAACATCGGTCTAAAGTACAAGTATATAAATGGTATATTTACTCAATTAATCAATAAATTTTAAAAACATAGTAGTACGAACTGTGTTTTTTTTTACAATATACAACACAAAGACAATTCAAAAAAGCTTAAAAACATTGCAATTGAGTTAAAACATAAAGAACAATAACATTAACTATATAATAGGGATCAACAAACAAAGAAATACAAACAGTAAAAGAAATAAATACTTCAGTAAAGTACATAAGTATTACACAAAATTCCTAAAATATTGGGCAAGAATGGTTGTATTAAAAAAATGACTTTCTCAAAATATGATACAAAATTTAATCATAATTATATTCTCTCAAGTGTCTTAGAAAAGATTGATTTTACTGGAAACAAGAAGCATATAAAAAAACATAAAATAAAGATAAATTTTATACAAGAAACTATATCAATTACAAAATAGTATATATATATATATACATATATATTTTTATATGGATTGAACCCAGAACCAAGGTGCTCTAAGACATGTACCATCCATTTAACCAAGCCATATACTTTACCTTTACAAATAAAAGTTATCGATAACCTTACATTAGGCATACACTATTAAATTTTCGGCTGTGAGATAATGTTTGATCAGGATGTCTCAAACTAAGTTTGATCAAAGATTATCTATGATAATAATAATAATTAATATTAAGAACAATATTATTACTAATACTTATAATAACACTAATAAATTAATAATAATATTAATGATTTTAATAAAAATAAAATAAAAGCTGCTATCGACAACCGTATATTAAACATACACTATTTAATGTTTGCCTGAAAGATAATGTTTAATGTTTAATGAGATTGTCTAAAACAAAATCTGATCAAATATTACAAAAATATCAATAATAATAACAAGAACAACAACAATATTAATACTAATAATGATAAAAACAATAAACAATGACAATATTAACACAAATTAATAATATTGACAAAAATTACAATAATTATAATAAAATTGTAATATAAAATAAGATATAGAACAATATTTTATAATAAAGTTAACAAATAAAAAAACAGCAGCAATAATAATACATTGATAAAATAATAACAATAATAACATTAACAATGGCAATAATTATGATAAAAAATATAAATGTGATATACAACAGAGTGAAGGAATTTTAATTCAATAATGAAACGGATCATTCAGATACTTCAGATTTTTTATAACTGGGAAAAAATTCCCGAAAGATCAACGACAGTCATTAATCTACTAATGAAAACACTTCATGTGAAGGTTAAGGCTGTTGGCACATCAAAAGTCAAGATATATTAACAAATGATTCTATAGTACACGAATCAATGATGAATAGCTCTCTAATCAATGTATGAATAGATACGTACATACGTATCCATCTTGAGGGAGTGCTAGATCTTTTGTTTGCTCTGACACTCCGGTCAGGAGCTGCGGTTAATCTGAGCATGCTTACGAGATTACCGAACAATCTTACAGAGAGCAAACGCAAGCAGACTTTGAGCGCTTGTTCTTGTGCAAACTTCATAAAAATAATGATCAACTTGTCCTGAGGGGGTAATGACACTGCTTAGCGAACTTGCGCTGAAAATCACCACTAAACAATATTGACAGCGAATTGTTTCTCTCCAAGATCTCTCTATGCATACAGTAATCTATTTAGATGATATTGTTTTAATTTATTTAAGTAGGGGTATCACTGGCGATACAGTGAATAAATCGCTAATCCGAAATCAGAAAACAAATTTGATTTACTAAAAGCTATTTCATGAAGTGCTGTAATCCTATCAGTTGCAATTTGTACAGGAAACCTTGTACGGAATTAGGGATTTTGCTTTTGATCGAACAATTTCTCAATGGATAGAGTTCTTATTATATCTAATCGCATGTATACACTGTATTACACAGATAAGACTGAATAAATTAATACTGATATTAAGAAATGCATTAGTGCTTGTTTATTGCTGCTGAAGTGCAATTTTAACAATTTCTAATTTGAGAAAGTTGACCCTACAAGATGAGTACAACAAATTAATTGCTAAGGTATTAACTGCTATCACTTTTTTTGACAACTGAAGATGCTTTTCTTTTGTATTTTTTTGTATTTTTTATTATTTGACTCTTTTTTCTGTGGTCCAAAATTGTCGAATGCTAAAGACCATAAGAAAACCCTGGTCCCAGAAGTGATCTACAATTGAGAGAGACTTTAGATTTCATTATGTTTTTATTTACTAGTTTCTGCATTTTTACAGCGTATTGCTACTATAATAGTTCATGTTTATTGATAGTATGACCACTGGGAGAAATGGATTAAAAGAAACATTTTAAGTACTTTTGATATATCCTTTGACTGGAGAAGGGCAATATAATACACTTAATGTTATTACTGGTCTTTCTCTAATTAAAGACACCTCCAATGAAAGAGCTCAATTATTGAGAGTCTAAATACTAAACTGTTGCACAAGGTGTGGCTCTAGAAATAAAAACACTCTTACCCACTCTGCCCCTGGCAGTGGCGTATCTAGAAGTTTTGAAATGGGAGTGCTGATGGTTGGTGCGAAGGTGAAGTGAGGGGGAGGGGACTTGATCAGTTTAGGGGCACTAATTCGCAAAATAAGGTGGTTTTAGGTGATTTTTAACTATACTTGACTGTGATTTTTGGGAGGGGGAGACCCCCCGCACCCTCTAGATATGCCACTGGCCCCGGGTGGTTGCCACAGATGTAAGATGTTATTGTGTAATAAGATAGGAAAAAATGTGTTTTTTAGACCACCATATTGATAACTGCTTTCACAATAACTTTTCTTGGATCGGTAAATTTTTTTTTTAAAGTATGCTTGACCAATGGGAAAAATTCCCAGGCTAGTGCCAGCAAAGATAAACACTGCAAATTAAACATGAATTATTTTTCCTATAAGAAATTTGTGAATTCTAATGTTAATACTACAAAATTATGTATTATAACTTTTTTTTATGGATTTCAAATTATAAAATATTGTCTGTTCCCCAACCACCTAAGAAGGTGATTTTTTAAAAGTAGAATTACTGACACAAATTCCCATTTATTCTCAGACTAGAATCTCCCAAAATAACCATGAATTACCAAGGTTTTTTTGAAGTAAAACCTTTTTATGATATATGTTTAAAATAAGATGATTTCAACAAATGTTTCAAATTTGGAAGGATTACTGAAAGAGCTACAAGCCCCTCAAGGTTTATCAGAACCAATGCAGGTGTTCTAATAGCATCATCGTTGATTGCTCTTGTAGAATGTTCAACGGTAAGTGTGACTCATCCATCAGAGTAAATGATACAATAATGAGTCACACGCAAAGTTGTTCTCAACACACGCATTCAAAGCGCATCTTATCTAGGTTAAATCCCAAGTCATGTACACCTTGATGATTATCGCAAACGATAATTTAAAAATTGTTGTATACCGTGACGTTGATTACACGATGGTGATATGAACGAAGACGAGACAAAAAAAAAACCAGTCATTATGTGATTGCTTGCGTTAGGAACTATAGTTGTCAGATATTGTGGGGCTGTAATCCTGGAAAACTACCTTGCATAAAAGAGTCTAGCCTAAGGCAATTATTATTGTATAAAAGACGCAGAATGTAATCTTAACTGTTAGAACTAACAGCCTACAATGTAATTAATCAGACATACTACGTCTTGAAATCTCTATAACGTGTTTTCATTTTTTTCATGTGATTTCTTAAAATGTTAAATTTGTTCTTTTCATTTTAACTGATGATTTTCTCATCTTAAATATCAAGGTTAATTATTCTCCAGATGATAAACCCTTTGGGTTTCGATAATATTGAGAGCTTGGTAGCTTCAACATTAATAATTTAAATTATCAATAATAAAAATATATATATAATTATGAAACACTTTTAATACCTTATTCAAAGTTGGATGATAAAAAATATAATAGTAGTAGTAACAATAATAATTATGTGTATGTATGTAAATAAGAGTGAACCTGTAGGTCCCTCTGATGTACATGTATACACATATACATACAGCATATACATACAAATTTGAAGGCAAAATACTAAAAAAACAATGCAGTGGGAAACAATGGCTGGATCTCGGTAGAGATACAAATTTGATCAGAAACAGATAAAATGACATGTATACGTAAGTAAACAGCCAGAATTATAACATGAGCTTTCGGACAACAATAGTCCTTCCTCATACATATAAGAAATGTGAAGAATGAAAGGAACTCAAATCCTACTGACACTTGGATCACCACAACATATTTGTGGTCAAGTGGTTATGAAATTTGTCAGATTAATCTTATACTCACCACTTCATTCATGTTAAAATCAGTATATGCTTTGTGGGGTCCACCGGACAGGGTCACAGCGAGGGTTGAAGGGCACTTCTCCATGAAATATACTGACTGGCCTTTATCATTTGCCGATCCTATAGATATGGTGTGGATGTTTCCGACATAGGCATCAGCACTACAGTCATCATCCTGAGCACCACCGTTACCAGAGGCCCAAACAAAGATGGATCCTTTACCATTACGACCCTGAAAATATAAAGTATCTGTCTCTTATACACATCTAGATGTGTATAAGAGACAGATTTAAGATTACGAATATTTAAAGATTAAATTTTTTCAGGTTAGTACTAAAATAATAATGAGAACAAAAATAACAAACACAATAATAATTACAACAATAACATAGTAAATATATATTAACAACAATAATAATAAGAAAAGCAATAATAAGAACAATCTTAGTGACAATAATAAAACCAACAACAATATATATTTACATATTTAAATATGTAAGTATATAATTTTTCAGGTTAGTAATAAAATTATAACAACACAAAAACAACAAAAACAACATTAACAGCAATAAACTGAACCAAACTATAATAACAATAGCAATAATATCAATCACAAAAACAGTATTAATAATAATTAAAATATTAATAATAATTATAATAACCATAATAATGATTAAAATAATTATATGATAATTGCATAACTTACATATTATATTCAGTGACAGGTGTTTTACAGGTTTGTTGTTCTGGTACATTCTCCCAAGTGAGAGCCAATTTCACCATCTTACCGGCGTCCAGGACACCAAAACCGAATCGATGGTTGAGATGATAGCCTGCGCCATTGATGTGCCACCCGCCCTCCATTGGGTTCGGAATATGGCTGCCATGTACGATGATATGCTGAACATCTCTCCATGTTAGCGATGGGCTAAAGTGGTGGTGTGGGGAAGAATATGTATAGTTAGAAAAATAATAAACAGTGAATTTCTGTATGAGGGATAAAATATTAATAATTCAAGGTTAATTTTAAGATTTAAATTCAAGAAATATTATATAGTCTATTGCTGTATTAGAATGTAAACATTATGTAAATATGAAAATATCTTAAAACTGAATGAAAATGCTAATTATATATCTAAGACAAAGTATGAATAATGTTATTTGATAGACTTAAATGTTAAAGAACATCAGTTAAAAATGTATGTATACCCTAGGTAGCAAAACAATATACAAAACTATATAATATACAAATATGAAGTATAACTAATTGCACTTTTGAATTTAACCACAGATATGTACGAGAACTATTTTTTCTTCAACGTTTTATGTTCTCATACTGATGGCAAGTTAAATTTTATATAAGTGCTTTATAAATTTTATCACATTTTTATAGTAATTTTTAAAATACTATAATTAAATAATTAGCAATGAAGCATACTTTGCCTGTAGTACAAGGGCAAGAATCCCAGACGCCAATGGTGCTGCACTTGACGTACCAATGAACTTAGATGTGCAACCGTTGTGCAGATCTGTTGTGGTCTGGATCAAAGTAAGAGATTTTCCACAATCAAGAGATAATTAAAAGTATTAACCAAAATAATATATTTATTGATTCAAAGACTTAAGATTCGATATTGTGCACCAAGAAATTCTGGTTGTATTGTTAAAGAAACTCATACAAAGAAAAAAGACAAAATTATGCATCACTACTACCATCATCAATGCCATCAATATTGTATTACTACCATTTCTAACACCACTGCCATCATCACCACCACCAATACCACCACTGTTCCCATTATTACTGCCATCAACACCACTTATCAACCACTGACAGCATAACCACCACCACTGCTGCCTCAACCAACACCACCACCACCACCACCAATAACTACTGTCATCAGTAGCACCAGCATGGCCACCACCACCAATACAAGCACTGCCATCAATAAAACTACTGCCATCATCACCACTGCCATCCCCACCACTGCAATCAACACCACTGCCACTACTATCACTTCCATTCAACATCACTGCCACCACTTCAATAATAAACAACAATACCAACTTTCTGTAGACCACTTATGAAACATCTTGAGCGATGTCAGACCGTGACAACTTTGCTCTCATCGAGGACATTGGTTCCCCTGTCAGGTACCCCAGAACCCACCCCGTCAGGCAAATCCTGAAGCCGCCAAAAAAAATAGTGCGACATAAATCAACATATATATACTCACCACTTCATTCATGTTAAAATCAGTATATGCTTTGTGAGGTCCACCGGACAGGGTCACAGCGAGGGTTGAAGGGCACTTCTCCATGAAATATACTGACTGGCCTTTATCATTTGCCGATCCTATAGATATGGTGTGGATGTTTCCGACATAGGCATCAGCACTACAGTCATCATCCTGAGCACCACCGTTACCAGAGGCCCAAACAAAGATGGATCCTTTGCCATTACGACCCTGAAAATATAAAGTATGGTTATATTGATAATGTCAACCGATTTATATTGCACTTAATACAGAAACTACCAATGGTTTTACAGGGTACACATACAGTATGGTTGACCTTTCCCCTGCCAATCAGGAGTGGTGCCAGGATTTCATTTCTTTCTTTCCTTTTTCTTTCTGTCTTTTCCTTTCTTTTACTTTTTCTTTCTTTTGCTTTTCATTTCTTTACCTTACCTTTCCTTTTCCTTTCCTTCCCTTTTTCTTTCATTCCTTACCCTTTCTTAATTTTTCTTTCCTTTTTGTTCACTTCAGGTTACTGTACATACCTTTTTTTACCTTTAATTCTGACTTCCACAGTTACTACTAATTGGTAAAAAATAACTGCAAATGGTTCAACAGTAACAAATATATGGTTCTACAAGTATCCAACTATTAGTTCCTGAAGTGACTTATAAATGTTCCAAAGTACAGTAATAAACAATGGTTCCACAGGAACTGTCATTGTTCAGACAGTAACTACCATTGGTTCCACAATAAATGCCATTGGTTCTACAGTGACTGCCACTGGTTCCATAATAACTGTCATTAGAACTGCCATTGGTTCCACAGTAAATGTCAGTGGTTCTGCAGTAACTGCCACTGGTTCCACAGTAACTGTCAGTGGTTCCAGTGACTGCCATTGGTTCCACAGCAACTGCCATACTGCCATTGGTTTCACAGCAACTGTCAGTGGTTGCACAGTAACTGCCATTAGTTCCACAGCAACTGCCATTGGTTCCACAGTAACTGTCAGTGGTTCCACATTAACAGTCATTGGTTCCATAGCAACCAGGGGGAAGATTTGGAAGGTGGGGGGGAGGGAGGCTCTTTTAGACAGTCAAAAAAAGATTTGGAAGGTGGGGGGGGGGGCCTTTTAGACAGTCAAAAAAAAGAAAGAAAGAAAGAAAAAGAAAAAATTGATCGCCCAAATCACCTCAGAGGTTATTTTCGGGCGTCTAGAAAACAAAAAAATCGCGGGGAAATGCACCTAGGGTAGTATTCTAGATCTCTGGATCAGCCCCATGGTAACTGCCATTGGTTCCACAGTAACTGTCAGTGGTTCCACTATAGCAGCCATGGGTTCCACAGTGAATTACAATGATTTACACATAGTTCCAAAGCAAATCAACAGTACCTATGAAAGATTTCACAGTTTAGGCATATAAGATTTAACTTTATACAAATACTATTTGATATACTGTGTTACCTCATTAGCACCCTTCTCAAGTGCTTGTGTAAGAAGCTCCCCAGGTTTTTGGAATGTCTTGCCATCATCAGGAGGTCCCCAGCAACAACTGTAGATGTCAATGTGACTGTTGTTAAACAAAACAGCAGATGCTTGCATAGCATCTGTCACTCCTCCATCAAGAATCCTTAGCCCTAACAATGAAAAAAATCCCTATGAATTTTGACTGACAGCTGACAAACCTGGAATGTACATTGTAAACACTTTTTTCATGAGAACAGTTTCATTGCAACAGCATGGTTTAACATAAATGACATTTAACAAAATTCAGTACATGCTGTATTCAATTAATTCATTTGCAAAATCCACTTTAAAACAATTCTGTCGAAAGAAAACATGCAAATTAATATTTTTAAATAAATAATAATTTTTTTAGCAGGTGTTTAATTCTATTTAAATAATAATTGTTTGATGGGACAAATGCTATATACTGTATTACAAAGACTTCCAGATGTTCTAACTGAAACCAGTGTCTTATTTACACAAGTGAATACAGAGATATTGAAGATACATGCAAGGCCAGAATGAAATATACCTCCAGCCTGTGAACATGCACACATATTCATGTTAAATATCTTTGGGAGTATTGCAATGTCTGTTTTTCTTACCATACATGGATATTACATGGGGAGCATGCTAAACAAATGCACCTCAAATAGATATGTAGCACTAGCAGTGGACAGTTGCTAAATCTTCTCAAGCACAAGTTTCTGACTTGGGTGAATTGTTAAACAGCAATGACTTGGGTGAATTGGGTAGTAGTATATGATAAAGTTGGGAATTCATGAGAGGTAAAATTGTTGAGCGGTCAAACAGACATGGAAGACACATGATTTGTTTGATCAAATTATATTTCAAATTTGCATATAGTATAAAAGTCTCATCAAACATTATTTTATCTGACAGACACAAAAAAAATTAAAATTTTATAAAATAAAATGCATCAAAAATACAAAATATTAGACAAAATTGAAATACAAAAACCAGAAATTATAATAGAAAACAACTGATAAAACCAATTATTACCGGGGTCAAAAAAAAAAAATGCAGTAATTTTTAATGCATGCAAACATTGTGCATTTAAATGCTTCAAAGATACTTACCACTCATGTCCTGTCAAAATATGATGGAAATTTAAGAGAAGAGGAAAATTATTATAAATGTCAGAGGCTTGTGACCATATATTACAATAAAAATCAATTCACAACAAATTAACACAGAAACATTATAAGACAAAAATATTGATTTGGGGAAGTAATGAGTATACAGATTGATAACATGTCAGGTTGAGCAAAACATAATTTTTAATATTGATTATATCTCACAGATCATATACAAAACTAAATCCTTGCTGAAATATTAATGAACTTTTTAAAACTATAGAGGGGGTAATGTCGAAATAGTTAAATATCATGAAGAATTGTTCAGGTTTTGGGAATTGAGACTTTGGACATACCTCCTATACTAGCTTCATATGCAGCACCCACGCCACAGATGCCGTTGTTGGCAACGGCGGCTATCTCACCGGCGCACCTTGTACCATGCCTGTAAAAAAGCAGAAGAAAGCATTAGTGTTCATCATTAAATGAAACCTGATATATTTTTTTATATCATTCGGTTATTTAAATACCGCATTTCCTTACAGATACAAAGTGCTTTTGACCCCCAGTCATTGGGTCTGCTGTAATCAGTGCAGGAGCAGGCAACCCCACCAGGTACCCATTTATACTCCTAGGTAGAGAGATGCAATGTAGATAAAGTGCCTTGCTCAAGGACACGAGCAAAATGCACAGCGAGGGATGAAGCCCAGACCTCAAGTTTGGCAAACCATACCATTCCTGGTGCACCAAACCACTTCTACAAACAACATTCTACGCACTTCACATTGCTACCCCATTTAATGAATCAAACAAATATAAAAATATATAGCTAGGCACAGTGTAATACAGGTGTCATCAGAATACCGAAGTTAAGCAATGTTGGGCCCAGTTAGGGGCCTGGTTATAGTACTAGAACATCTTGGCACCACCATGAGATGTAGGCTTGAGCATGAGGTCAACGTGTACAGCAGTAGCATCCTAGTCATTGGTGCAGGTATAGATCAATAAGTTAACTTTGTATGTTAAGATTAAAGAAGAAAATTTATTACGAAAAAAAAATGAAGCTTACGCATTTTCCATTCCAGCTTCTTTAGAATCATTGGGTCGAGGGTCAATATCGGCAGTTTTGCTTTTATTGTTGAAATCAAAACTTGCATCTTTATCCTAAAAATAAAGGATATAAAATAAATATAAATATATACATACAATAAATATTCAACAACAAAAACAAGAATTTTAATGATAATAGGCCTGATAAAAATCATTCTAAAAATCAAATCAAAACTGAAGAATGAAACTTACAAAATTAGGAGAGAGATCAGGGTGAGTATAATCCATGCCTATAAAAACAAACATCACAGAAAAATAAATCTCACAATCAATAAATATCTTATTATTTGAAATCTGAAATGAAATCTCAAAATATTTGAATGAAGCAATTAATAACAATTAAAAAATTATTACATACCATCATCCACAACAGTAACAACAACACCTTTGCCGGTAAATCCTAGTTTCCAGGCCGGGACCAGATTCATGTCGACCCCAGGGACTGCCCCCTGCTGACCATCATTATGCTGTGAAAGAGAAAATAGATGTGAACTGCATTGGCATATTTAGAAAGGGTTTATGCCCGAACTGCAGGAAAATTCTTACTGGAAAATTTGAGCAACGCAAGTAGATCCCTTGATTTCACTCATTTCCAGAGTTAACTCGACCCTTACCTTACGAAAAAGACTCTTGTCTTAGTATATTGTATGTTGATATGAATAGGAACCAAAAATATGTTCAATAAACTAGAAAATATTCTTAATCTAATAGCCCTGAATTAACTAACACTGCTTCTTCAATTGTGCTTGGCTGTGATAGAAATTCTTCCATTCTATCATGAACACAGCAAAACATAACAATTGGTACTAAAGTAAGTATTTGTTTTTTTCTTGTTCAGGCTACATTTTTTCTGCTAAAATCAAGAGCAGATGCACTCTCTCTCTCCTTTTTATTTTATCACAGCCTACGGAATGTACATAGGCTCAAGTTCGATCATACATAGGATGTTGTTCGATCACAGACTTCAATCGCAGCCTACAGCCGCCACATAGGCTCAAGTTCAATTGTAGACTTCAATCACAGCCTCAAGTTTAGTTTAGAGCTATCAATTACCACTAAAAATAATATTGATATTTGACGGTGAATGCATACATATGTTGCATTTTTCACTATGAAAACAGTGTCAGAACTGATTACTGCTATAATTACCATACCAAGAAGTTTTGATTATGTAAGTATTTTTCACTTACAAGATACCACTGCTTAGGCCACTTTGGATCATTGAAACTTATGTCGTAGTCATCTCCAGTCACGTCAGGGGGCACAAAATTTCCTGATCGTCGCCCCAGCATCGTCTCAGGTTGCTGGCTTACCCATAAAACCTACCAAGAAATTGTCAATCATGACGAAAACTAATTAAAATGCTCTATCACTATTTCAAGGGGTTTAGGTTGAAGGTTCTTTGTTGCCTGATTTTTAATACTTAAGTTCAAAATAATCGTAAAATGTTAATATTTTTTTGTTTCTAATTTCCATTAAATGAATAAGTGTGATTTAATTGATGGATTGATTGAAGGACTGATTGATGGATTGATAGATTGATGGATTTATGGACTGATTGATTGATTGATCGATCGGTCGATAGATAGATAGATAGATAGAAAGATAGATTGATGGATTAATTGACTAATTAATTGATAGATTAATGGATTGATATAGATTGATTGATTGATGGATGGATGGATTAATTGAATAATAGATTAATGGACTGATTGATTGACAGATTGATGGATTTATGGATTGTTGGAAGGATGGATTGATTAATGATTGATTGATTAATTGATTGATGGATTAATTGACTGAACACATTAACTTCTAACTCCAATTAAACCTATTTGAGATGTTTGGGAAGCTTACCCTTTCGTCTTCCATTAGTAGTTCTGTGACATCATCAGCAGCTCGTTTTGAGCGCACCACCTCTGCGCCACGAGAAAGATGATATTTATCTTTTAATGAGCCAATCTGAAAAAAAAATATATAATATTAAATATGAGTAAGAAAATATATAAAATCATAATCATAACAAAAACACAGTTCTATCATAGAATCAAACCTTTTGACACTGACTTAGATAAAGAAAATCAATAATAAAGTAGTGAAAAATGCAAACATTAAGAATAAAAATTTGCAGAGATGGGATAAATTTTGGAAGATTATTGCTTGTTTGAGAGAGTGCGAGGTGTCATCCTGATTTATTGGGGGACTACCATGAATTCTGAGAGACTTGGGACCCGTGAGATGTTAATTAAATTTTAATTTTCTATTCTTAATTCACATTGAAAAAAGATTACAAAAATAGGAGTGCAAACAAGAAAAATGTTGTAAACTATAATGTGGCAAAGACAAGAAAAAAAACCCAGTCGCTTATTTGCAAAAAAAAAAAAAAAAAAAAAAACTAGTTACAAATATAGGGTATAAGCAGTAAATTGAAAGTTATAAAATGGCGATAGAAACATATACAGTAAATTCGACATTACATTATAAAGTTAAAGGCGTTTATGACGTTAAAGCTGTTTAAAAAAGAGTATTTGAGAAATCAGCCTTCAAAGTGTACAATTTCGGGCATTTCTCGGGCAGAGATCATCACCAAATTGTTAAAAATTTTAGTTTTAACCTCGAAATAAAAAAAATATCAACATAAGCATGATGTATTAGATATTATAAGTTTTGTTTAGTGCAATAAAATTTCTTTTCTTTACCACATTATTTAGACATTTTTGGCAGAAAAATATGTACTGCATTAAGAGTAAAAGTAAAGTCATTGTTTATGAAAAATGATAGCAGAGAAATTGACCTCTTCCTGGTTTCACAGAGTGTTTATTCTGTATTCTGAGTATACATTTTGAAGAAAAGATGACCAAATATACATGGAGAAGCCAGTGCAACAAACTGTAAGTTGTTTACAATGGGGTCACAGTGCATATGATCCTTCTATTCAGCAGCATTTATCTGAATGTGGGCGGATAAATGGGTGTCCATCTTTGCATGCATGCCTCATTAACCTCAGACATTATAGAGAAGCATGGAAGAATTAGTTTAAAATAATAATAAACCAACTCAATGATCAGAAAGCATATATGGGAATATTTCGTCATGTCCAACCTCTCCCCCATTTTTAAAAAAATTAAAAATGAGAATATGCTACAGTAATAACATAATAATATACATATTAAATGCATAATTCTTTAATAAAATTATATAGTTTGACATAAAAGATAATGATAAATGTGACCTACTACAGTATTAATTACATACTGTAATCCAAAAATTGAGGAAAACATTGCAATGGAACTTTAAATTGCTTATGTACAATAATCTCAATTTATCAAGTTTCATTCATTCATTCATTATCAATGTTCTATAAGTCTTCAAAAACAATCTTCTCTTTTTACAGGATTCTATTTTCAATATTTGAAAGTATGTGTTTAGCAATATAAAGCTTCTTCTGATCTTACTTCATCAACATTGATGATATTCAGAAAAGTTATGCTACAGTATATCACACAGTAGTATTAATACACATTTCTGTATAATTTTGTATAATTAAAAAAAGAAAAATTTTTGGTGCACCATGAGTGCCCGAAGATTTTTTTGTTGATGATGAAAAAGAAAATTTCTTATAGGATCCAATAGAATTGTCCTGAATCTTGGATTCTGCTCTATTACAGTAGGAGAATTATACTAGATCCCCTAGAATCCTATAGGACATTGGTTATAAATTAATTCGTTTGAAGGGCCAAATTATTTTTAGAGTTGACCTCACGGGCCAAAAATATTATCTGACATGTTAAAAGCAATCGTTATACATCTGGGTGAAACTCATTCCTTTAAGTCAGGTCTATTGAAAGGGTTTTTTGGCAATTTTAAATTATACTCTTATAATTGTACTACAAGTGACCAGCTTGTGTCATCAGTTTAACAGTCGTTAGTCACCTTTGGTGGGTCGCTTTACCAATGTATTATCACAATACAAAAGCCTATGCTTAGTGTTTAGAAATATTTTTTGAAAAATACAAAACGTTTTCCCGTCTTGTGGTACACCAACCTTTCATTATCTATGTAAAGTAAAGAACTATTGACGAATCACACTGAATTAAAGAAAACACAGAGATGGGGCAAAAGTTGGTCTAATTCTATATTGTATGATTTGAAAAGAAGGCTTTTGACGAAATACAGTGATCAGGACAACAGAGATCAAACTTGGCGCCACAGAACTTGAAGTGTCTTGTATCGAAATGAATTTTTATGAGCACTGTTCTTTAGTAAATCATATTAACTGAAGCACTAATGTTATTGAAGATAAAACCTAATAGGCGTATTTAAAATCAAAAAGAGTTTAGTTGTGTTTCCCTCTATGATTTAACAATGGGCTGCTTCTTCTTCCATGAATCTCAAATCGTACATCAGGACTCTGCAATCATTACAATTTTAACACATCCTCTGAGTTGCTATGTTGAATCTAGCTGCGCCAATAACAATAACAATTATTTTTATAGTTTTGTTTACAGGGTTTAATTGAAGATCTTAGTGGAGTAACCCCTACATCATAATGCATTTTAGGTATTTTTTTTTATCTTGCTTGAAGTTAAGAATCGAACCACGGAAAGCACACAGTGATCAATTTTGGCGCTATTTATTCTACTTTTGGCCTATATTAACTTGCTCACTTTTAAACCATTTCCATGCACATTACCCAGGGGTTTATTGTTTGTTACTTTGAAGAAAATTTATTCCTCAAACTTTTAATATGTTATAAATATTTATACAGTATATGGTTCAATGCTTTAAATTTATATTATTAGGAAGAAATATACATATCTTATTTTTGGAGATTTCAAGGCAGCGGCGGGCGTAATAAAAATAAAGAAAAACTTTTATTGGCAGGCAGTGGGTTCGGTAAACAAGGAATAAAAAAAGTTTTTATTGGTTTATCAAGAGATAATTTTTCCATTAAATATTATATGGATATAACCAGATTTTGTTTTTCAATTCCTTTGTAAATTAGGATAAAAAATAATCATTAAAAATACACTTACCCTTCTTATATAGTGCAGTCCATGATCTGATGCAACGTTGCGAGCGACACTCTCTCCTCCCTTCACTTCCACGGCCCACTCATTTAAGTACACTCTCTCAGGCTCCACGAATGATTGACAAGTGAATGCAACAACTATGATAACGACAAGTGCAGCTCCACTTCTCATTTTCTTTGGAGAAATTGAAAGAAAAATTTTACTTTATTTATGAAAATATAAATTTATGGTTTTTTTTACATCACTCTCTGTATCACTATCAACAAAATATTACTATTATTACACAATACACGTTGTCAAAAGATAATACAATTTTCTTTGACAAAAACTGTTGTATTTCTAAAAAGTTCAAGAGGGTATGGAGCAAATGGCAACTTCAGGCCCCTGGTCAGGATTTAGGTATAAAATCTCTCGTGGGTCAAGAAGGGGGGGGGGGGCGTACCCCTCGCTGCAGAGATTTAAGGTTTAGGATAGTGTAAAAATTAGACAATAATTGAGTATCAGCAATCACAATAACTTTGGTCAAAACAGCAAATTGAATATTTTTAGTTTGAAGACCGAGTAGTGTCTGACAAGAAAAAGTCCAATTGTCCAGAAAGGGGGAAGGGGGGACTAACATAACGTTGCTGAATTGCAAAGGTTGAGTATTGATGAACAGATAGTGTGATGCCCACCAAAGTATGCGTTGGATATTGCTACACCAGCCTTTAACCGATTCTTAATTCTGATTGAATGTTATTGTCCTAATAATAACATAAAAAATCAGAATTAGTTAGGAATTGGTTTAAAACTGGTGTAAAAATTGCCACTGTACTTCTGCCATTAATATTATTCTATAATCAAAATAATCTATAAACGAAATGGTACAACAGGTCGGGGTTCAAAATCATAGATGATTACTTTAACTTCCATATTATTTATAAAATCATTGACTTAGGGCTAACCATGTCCAAAGCTGCCGAACTAAATCAGACACTATCACCACCTACGCACGGGCAAGGTACAATATTGCACAGTACACTGGTAAATACCAACAGACGGCCTGGTGGACTTAGTTTGGCCTACCTAACTAGGCCTAGCCTAGCCCAGCTAGCTAGGCCTAACTATAAGTTAACGTCAGAGGTACAGTATGTCTAATTTCGTAAACAATGACTGCTACTCACTTACAGGATTATGATTTTATGAGTATCCCAATTCCGGAATTCCGGAAAGAAGATTGCTGTGCTGTTGCCTTGCCCGTATTCTTGTCAAAGTTTGGTAGAGCGGCAGGAATCAGGAGGGGTTAAACTTCACCCATCTTGTTTTGTTATGCTAATTAGGTAGGTAACTAATTTTATAACAAACTTGAGGGCAGTCGTTAAAACAGAGAGCTGGAACCTGAAGCTCAAAACCTGTGACTGGTATGCGACTCAAGATCCGAATGTTGCAGGGCTGAGTTGTTGAGACACCGAACAGGAATGTTGTTGGTTAAATTTATTACAATTATTTGATATTAATACATTTTCCAAGCATCACCATCACCGTCATCATCATTATCATCATCAACAATTCTTTATTTAAATCATTCTCAGATGGCGTTGAAACTTTGCATAGCCTATAGGCCTAGTTTAATTCGCCTTCTTGTAAAGATGAGAGTACGTCTACATATAAATAGGTATAACTTAAAATTTAAGATTGCACTGTAAAAGAAGTGGCAATGTCTGTTTCAATTCTCCATAAGAGCTGACAAGATAAACAAGCCAAAATTAATCACTGCCAAATTGGCTTTCGACCGTAGATTCTTCAGTTCTGTAGAACAATGATTTTGTGTTGGCTTATATCACATTTTTTATTTTGGAAACCATGACTAGCCAATATAAAAATGCACTATGTCTAATTAATGCCGAACCTCGAGCTCTTCTTGGATGTTGAAGAAAATCACGCATACCTAACTATAGTGGTAAGCTTTGCTTAATTACATTCGAATTCAAAATCAGTTAAAATAATTTTGAAAGAAGAAATAATTAGGCTCTACTTTAAACGCCAATGAATATTTTATTTATTTCGTAATAGGACCAAAGGTCTAGTAGGAAATTCCCCGTCCAGGGAAATGAAAGTCCAGTAATGCACATTACCAACTCATTGGTGATACAGACGATTAAATGAGAAATTCAGGAAGGAAGGGAGGGTCTAAGCCAACTATAATATAATGCATGCTTACTACTAAGTATCATACCGTATTCTAAGTTTCGTTGCAGTAGGAAAGTGCAGATGACAAGGTAGGAGTTAGATAGGTAGGTGGCAGGGGTGTCGCCAGTAAGAGAGGATGGGGCGGGAGCCCGGGGCCCCTCGTCGAGGAGAGCTGTCCCCAACCCCGGCCCCGTCGGAAAGAAAAACCACAGTCCGTTGGGGAGAAAAATTGTATGTATTTTTTTACACACAAACTCTAATCTATTAAAAAACCTTTTAGAACCCAATAAATTAGGCCTATAACATATTTCGGGGGGGGGGGTGGACCCCCTGAACCCCTCCTGAAAGACTTTTTAGCAACTCCCACCTCGCCCTCGTCATTAACATCGCTGCACCCTCCCCCCACCCCATCATCGGACAAATTTTGGATTGGTGCCATAGAGTTTATTATGTCATTATTTACAGAATAGTGACTCACTCTTTTACTCTATGGAACAAAAAAATGTGCAAGCGCCATTTGCATGCGGAAGTCGAACATTGTGCTCCAATAGCTTTTGTTTCTATCGGCATGGTCGACCATGCGGTACTTTTGTTTTCTATCGCCACAGTCGGTTAAAATTAGCTGTGTAAGAAGCTGAAATGAATGAAATACGGTACTATATTATTATAGCATATTGGTCCACCATTATACGTAGGTGCACCGGCTTGAAAGCCAATTAGATATTAAGTGTACCGTCATTAGAGTGAGAACCTCCGGGAAATGGACCAAACGAAGTCTAAATTTTTAGTAACCATGCCAGTGCAATAATACCATATTTATAGTGTCGAAAAGAGCTCGAGCTTATCTCGAAAAAATCGAGATCCAAAGTTTGGGAAAAAATAGGAAGCACAAGGCTTTATGTAAATCGAATAACAGCCTTTATTCCTGTCCTGCTTATAAATTATGATCTTCCGACGATGAAAAAAAGCACCGTGGACTCCAGTTGAACAAACATCATATCAAACAAAACATTGCTTGCGAAATTTCAATTGCTTTGTATGTTTTGAAATAAGCCTTCGAAGAAAACAAGACTTTTTGTTGAAAGGTAACAACCCATTATCAAAATTAGGCCTAAGCAAAAAATCATTTTTCTTGGATTGACGCAGATCTGAATTGTTCATTGTGTAATGCTAAACATAGGCCTATTTACTGACGATACAAAACAATCAGTGAACAATATGCCTACTGTTGATCGAAGTTTAAAATATCAAACAAACACATGCCTGCCAATATTTAAATTGCTTTAGAAAATGAAACATGCTTTATAAAAGCAATATTGCACTCAATCGTACCATTAAATAACGAAAGGGCCTACGACAACATCGGATTTAAGCAAAATTCTGAAAATAAATTGTATCTTCCAAGGATAGGATGCTGCTCACCAAGGGCGTCGATCCGTGTTTGAAAGTGGGGGTGGGGGACGAAATGCAAAATAAGAAAGCCTTGGGGCGTAGGCTCAAGCCTTGGTTTGGGGCCAGGGGCGGATACCTGTCTCTTATACACATCTTACCTAACTATAGTGGTAAGCTTTGCTTAATTACATTCGAATTCAAAATCAGTTAAAATAATTTTGAAAGAAGAAATAATTAGGCTCTACTTTAAACGCCAATGAATATTTTATTTATTTCGTAATAGGACCAAAGGTCTAGTAGGAAATTCCCCGTCGAGGGAAATGAAAGTCCAGTAATGCACATTACCAACTCATTGGTGATACAGACGATTAAATGAGAAATTCAGGAAGGAAGGGAGGGTCTAAGCCAACTATAATATCGCCCCCACTGAAATACTCATCATAGAAAGTTTTTTTCAAATTATCCTGGTAATCATAATTATGCATGCCCACTTATATATTTCGTGCAAACTAACATTTATAAAAATAATGATTTATTACCGGTAGGGCCTATCTACTGATTAGCTTGTGACGTATTCGAAACATGGAAAACAAACAAGACAAACTTAAAACAGTCATTAATTTAGTCTCTTTGTATGTACAGTGCTTTTAAAATCAATCAAGAGGTTTTTCCTTTTTCTCCACTTTAGTAGTATTAGTACTACAATTGTGAGTGGAAATACTACTGTCTAATTTGCGATCAAATTTAACAGGACTAGGGAGATAGGAAGCACACAAAACATTAGTTAGCATTTCGATTTCACAAACATAAAGGTTTATCGTTATCAGTGGCGGCTCCAGGAAAGCGAAATAGAGTGGGGACAGGGAGGGACTTCCGCAATTTGGGAAACTAGATGACCTCAGCCCCACCATGGTTGGGGCTGATGAAGAAAATGTATGATTATGACACCTAGATGACCGGAAATGGCACTCTCAGACCTAAATTCTAATTCTAATTTTCCTTTTCTTTCCAATTTTTAAAAAATAATTTTGAAAAATTTAGGGCCACTGAATATTATGACGTCATTGCGAGATTTTGTCACATAACACTGGGGTTTGTAAACTTGTGTTAACACTACTTAAATAAATAGAAACCGATAGACTTGTCGTGTCAAAGGCTGTATAATTATTGTTTAATTACGGCTATATAAAATCAAATGACTAACTATAATTGTTTGAAATTAGGAAAAACAGTAATCTATGTGCGCAGATAATATTTAACACTAGTATATACGTACGGGTCATAATAATATACAAAGGAATAAATCGTTTAACGCCTTGATATTAGAAATTGTGCACTTTTGAGTTTGTAAAAATATTGGCCTAATAAGTTTAATTTTAACAACGTACAGTACATTGTTTTCACATTAATTTAGCCTCTGATAATCGTTGCACCAAAAAATATATGTAGTGGTTACTGAGATGGTTAGGACATGTACAAACAATTTTATTCGATTTCGGTCCGGAAATACGCACCGCGATTGGAAAAATGAACAGGCAAAATCATGACAGTCATACGTAAATGTTAGTCTTTCCATTCACTTTGAAAATTGGGGTTTCATATATTGAAGATTGGTGAAAAGTGGGGGAAATTGATACGATGCCCCCCCCCCCTCCACGTTTTCAAGATGGGAAAACCTTGAATTTTGAAGAACAAAAAAGTAATTAAAAGACACCTCAGAAGTCGGGAAAGCTCGTTTCCCGCCATCTAGAAATCGAAATTTTCCCTGGGGAGGAATGTTGACCCCACCACCTAGGTTTGATTCCAGATCTGCATGATTCATATTCCCATTCATCTTATAAACAGTGGCGTAACAGGCGGGGCAGGGGCAGACTGTTCCCCCCCCCCCCACCACTGACGGTTTTTACCGGGCTGACCAAGCCGTCGTACCGGGCTGGCTGGGTAAGAAGAGAGACAGATCGTACATATCATTGGCATAACAAGGTTTTGTATGTTTTATTATACAATTAAAAAGAACGTAATATCTTACGCGTGTCCTTCAATACTAAAGAAGTTTGTTTGAGAAGAAGGTAGGTCACTCCATGGTGAAGATATCAGGTTCTGGTTTTGGAAAAAGCTCATATGATTTGAACCAACGCCGTCAAAGATCATGTGCATGACCTCACTGCCATCCTCGTAAAGAGCTACCT